TATCTGTACTTTCTACTACACTACATTTCTATAATGCGTTGCATTACAAGTTACATTCATGTTGCTGCTTTTTGATTTGTTTGTTACTTTGAAAGTAACTAATGGTGAGAGGGGAGCTGGTCCATTGAATCACTGCAAAGTGGACAGGTAACGTTAGGCCCATCTTCAAGAAGAGCTGGGCCAATGACATATATTCTAGTATATATGTCACTGAGCTGGGTGCATCCGCAGCACCACTAACACACCCAAAATGTATTCCAGTACAAGAGAGTCAGTCAGAAGATATGCACCACCCATGGCCTTATTGAAAGACTGTTCAGTACAACAGGACATATTCTCTCTCCCAAAAGAGCCAGATAGGACTCAAAAATCTTTGAAAACAACTTCTTCTGAACTTGAACAAGAAATTCTTGCTGCAACATTAAAATGTGTCAGTTCATGGGATGTTAGGAGACAAGAGATGTCTCCAAATGTCTCAACACTTGGGTCCAAGTTTTAAAAATGGTGTCAGGAAGTTAAAATATTGTTCAATATTGACCCATTACAAGGTCGACTAGACAGGATTTTAACTTGAGTTGATGAAAACTGGAGTTGAACTGATCAGAGCCTGTTGTTTATGTCTAATGCTCCTTTTTTCAGGCAGACAACTTTTACTTCAATGTGTTTACTGCAGTTAAAATGACACATTGGTTTTGCTTTGTGTTAAATAGAAACTTTCAAAGGTATAATCATTCTTCTTTCTTATTTTGCTTCATGACATTTAACTCTGCATGTCATCCCTGAAATTCTGACGCACAGAATCACAAGTCCAAGTGTGAACTGTGTCACAGAGTAAACACAATAAAAACATGTATTATCTGCAGCATCGTTCATTAAAATGACTCAACACTATTAATGTATTACAGAAAATATACATACGGTACACAGACTTAAAGATATGTATACCATTACATTAGGTAATACATTCAGCAAGTACTTTTACTTTTAATACTTTAAGTATTTTAAAAGCAAGTACTTATTTACTTTTACTTAAGTAAAAATGTTAATGTGGTACTTCTACTTTTACTAGAGTACATTTTTGTCTGTTTATTTGTACTTTTACTTAAGTACAGTGTTTGAGTACTTTCTCCACCACTGGTCACAACCAGTAACCTTCTGCATGGTGGCTTTTCAAAAGCACGTTTGTCCTGCTTACAGCATACAGTATATAGGATGAATGATGGTTTTATTTTAGTTAGGTCGCAGAGGTTTCCAGCACAGAAAATAACTTTAAAAAAACTATAAATAAAGATTAAAGGCTGTCATACAAATACGATTTGGCAAGCAGTTATGTTATCTCTCAGCCACAGAGTCAAATTAAAAATAAATTATTTGGCAAATCTTCCTTTTTCCTTTCTCACCCTGACGAAAAAATTCTAAGCTCAGAAATAAATGTTTTGATTTTAAACTTGTAACAGCAATCTTATGGTTTATGAATACACAGGCTTAGGGCACAATTTTAAAATTTTAGGCAGAAAACATCAGTGATCTGAACGAACACAGAAAGAGAGATATGCACACTTTAAAGTGTTCTAATTTAGTAATTAGCAAGAACAGGTATGCATTTATGCACTCTGTATAGGACACTAAATATTTAGCATATAGCCTTAAATCTGACTGATCCTATGCACGTTTGTCAGAGTAAAATGTGTGGCTGGTTTGACTCCTTTTGTGAGACTTTGCTCATTAACATGTACCTACAATTTAAATCAACTTTATTTTTTTTAATTGTACTTTTTTGTGTGTGTGTGTGGAGTGGTGGCGCAGAGGTTAGAGTAGGTGGGCCACCGGTTCAACTCCCAGTATTGACAACATAAAAAATGTGGGTGGGAAAGGTGAAGAACCCACACCGGTCTCCATGACCCCTGAAGAAGGGAGCAGCCGAAAAAAGGAAAAAATAAAAAATAAAAAATAAAAACATATATATATATATATATATATATATATATATTTTTTTTTTTTTTTTTTTTTTTTTTTTTATTAAAGCACATCACCATGAGAGGCGGACAATTATATTGTACATTTCTATGTGTGTGCTTTGGTTTTTCTTTTTCTTATCAAAATATTTCATGAACTGAACAAGTTTTAATGAAACTCCCAGAAAGTAATTATTGGATGTATATCTACAATTATTTCACTTTTGGAGTTAAATGCAATTTTATTTTCACTTGTAAAAAAAAAAAAAATCTTTATTTGTACACATCCTTTATGATTGTCTATTACTGTCGTTGTCATCACTGTTTGTTAAAATCAGGTCTCTCTTGTAAATGAGTCTCCAAGGCTCAAGTATAAATAAATGCTGAATGAATGTACCTTGTTCAAGATGGCCACCATAAATTAATTCACCTTAGAAACAACAAAAATGGTTCCAACAGAGTTTACAAACGGGTTTGGTGTAATGGGAGTCATCTCATTGAAACTTGTCATGAAGCAACATGCAGTCTTTCAGGCAGTGTTGTTGTTGATAGTTTGCTTTGACAGCACAAAAGAGTTTTTCCCTCTTAAGCATATTAATTTGTGAAACTCTAACATTTGTGGTTTGTGATAAACTAATTACAAACTCAGCCTGTGAGTTATAAAATGCTGATTTCCACACAGGTGTCTGCTGCATAATGATAAGACAGCAATACCTTTGTGTAAAATGTAACAACACAACGCAACAGGCACAAAAACCGTAGAGAAACCCCACAAACAGAACACCAGCTGCAAGCCAATTAATAGAATAGGCAATACAAAATTATTGTTTTCAGCTCCACCTCAGTGCTGTGGGAAGTAATTTACCTCTCAGCTGGATGTAGAGATGCACAGTTCTAGAGACTTTGCCTGTTTTAATAATGTTTGCTTTCCATTTACCCGATACAATGAGCAGTTTGTTCACATCTAAGATGTTTTGATCTCATCTAATGACCTTTGCCAAATATAACACTGATAACTCTGACATTATCTTCAGTGTCAGTAGTTATGTACAAATGTTATTTGATATTTAGCTGCTGAAGACCAGTCAGCATTTGATTTTGAGTTTTAGGATGACTTTAACCCAAACATATCATCAGTAAGAGGTAACAGAAATTTTGTGAAGTATAATTGTACGCATCCTGTTTACAATAGTTTCCCCCCATTTCACTCTTAAACCCAGTTTTGCTTTATGGTGCGTGACATTAGAATGTCATGGTGACATGTACAAATACACTTCTGTGGCATGAAGAAATCTGAATGTGTATGTGTGAGGGGGGGTGTGGTGGGGGGGACAGACAGACTAGTAGATAATTAGCGCACCAATATTGCAGTGATGTTGATCCAAAATGCTGGCAGAGTCTTAACTGGAGTTACTGGGAGAGATCATATCTCTCCAGTTTTAGCTTCTCTCCATTGGCTCCCTGTCAAATCCAGAATTTATTTCAAAATCTTACTTCTAACCTACAAAGCTCTCAACAACCTAGCTCCATCTTATATTTGAGATTTTATTGTTCCATGTTTTCCTAACAGAGCACTTCGCTCTCAGACTGCAGGTTTACTTGTGGTTCCTAGAGTTTCCAAAAGCAGAATGGGAGGAAGATCTTCCAGTTCTCAGGCTCCTCTCTTGTGGAACCAACTTCCAGTTTCTGTCCATGAGGCTGACACATTGTCCAGTTTTAAGACTGGGCTTAATCTTTGCTTTTTGATAAATCCTATAGTTAGGGTCGGCTTGGGTTTTCTGAACTATCCCTTAGTTATGCTGCTATAGGCTTAGAGTGCTGGAGGACACATCGACCTCATTTCCTCACTCTGCTGCTGTCTTTACTTGCTCTACTCTACCGGTTTGTATTTGTAACTGTTTCTATCCTTGTGTTTTGTTGCGTTTCCTCCTATAGAAAGTACATCTGGACCTGTCCTTCTGTGTTTGGCTGTTTCTCCTTCCTGTCCGCTCAAACCCAGCCGGCCGGAGCAGATGGCTGCTCGTCCTGGTAAAAGGGAGTTTTTCCTTCCCACTGTTGCCTTTGTGCTCCCTCAGGTTGAGAGACTGTGACGAAGTGAAGCTTCAACGCATCTGCTGGCTTAGATAACTTTCACCAGATGGCTTTTATAATGTCTGTGAATGTTTTTGTTCAGATGACTTCTGATGTGATTTGGTGCTATATAAATAAACTGAACCGAATTGATGTATGGGGATTTAACAACGCCGTTAAACCAACTCTGATGTATACACAGGAACTGAAACATGTCTTCATCTTATCCATGTAAGCATTGAAGTCATATTCAAATAAAATTAATAGTCTGTATTTTGCTGATCACATAAAAAAAAGCTAAAGTTAAACACTGTTAGGTATGTTAATCTGGTCAGGTAATAAATTAAAAACTCAATTATTGTACTGAAAAGAAAACAGATCTCACACATTATTAGACCAGCATTTTGGCAATGATGTCTAATACGTGCAAAATAATAATTATAATGGTGTAAGACATAATGCGTTCAGAAGTAAGACAGATTGGTGGTGCAGCTTTTGAATTTTTTCCTGAATTGTGCTAAAGTCCAGTTGATGACAGATGTAGAAAGACAGATCACAGGATGGCCCATTAACCCTCATTTCAGTTTATGTAAGAGCTCAGGCGGAAGAGACGAGCTGTAATTTGGGTAATTTTGCTCTGCACTTCCCCTTTTCTTCAATGACAATAATTATCAGTGGAAAACATCTGTAGACGTGGCGTGGTGTCTCCTTCCTCACTTCTCCGTCCTCCTTTTGTCCGGTCCATGTCTGTTCCTCACATCTCTTGTCTTAATCACCCGTGTGTCTTTTCTTCCTCCCTCCTTTTCACACACACACACACACACACACGCACACACACACACACACACACACACACACACACACACACACGTCTCTGCCCGATTGTTTTTTCTGCCCCGTCTTCCCTTTTAGTGCAAAAACTGTTTCTTAATCTCACTTGGAGTCTGGAGAAAACTGTGTTAAACTCTTACTCACCCCAGTGGTTTCTCCAGTCGACTGGCTGGTGATCCAACTATCTCCCCGAGCGTACAGAACATCTGACCCAAAAAGTCCTGCAGGAAATGAGGAAGAAAATGTTGAAAGCATGAGAGAATAGAAGGAAGATTTTTATTTTTTAAATGTTGAAAAATACATCATACAGTCAAACCTTAAACTGACTAGTTTTCATGCAAACATCAAATTCAAGCTTTTTTTTAATAAAATGTTTACTCATGCTCGCTCACATTTGCTGGTCAAATTGAATTATTTGGCATTTTGTGACATATGTACATTTTAAGATTGATTATGGAGTTGCACTATTTTTTATTCTACTCTTGGCAGATTGATTTGTTGCTGAATAAAATCTACTTTTTCTTCTCAAAGCAACGTACTGTCTGTGTAAATAAGGTGATATCAAATACCGTGTTGGAGTAAATATTTGAGAAGGGTTTTATAAAATGCTCCCATAACTCACTGGTTCTTATACAATTATACAAGGGAGGGCTACCAAAAAATAAAAATAAATAAATAAAATAAGAAAAGCACTGAAATAAACTCGTGATCCTTAATTATTTTAATTAACGCCTAATATATCATGAAGTTTTGTTGCCCTGTAATACCTAATGTCCAATATAATGTTATAATTATATAGATTATCATTTAACAGCCATGGATGACTGAAGGCTTGAAGCCGATACAGTCTGTGTCATACCCTCCTGACTACCAGGAAAAATAAATATTGTCCATGTCCAATAGTTTATTATTCATGAGGAAGAGAACGGTACTAAAGCCCTCTCTTTCATATGTGATATCGTTGAAAAGCCCTAAATGTTCTCTGTAGAGAGCACAAGGAGTTAATTCAGTAGTATGCTGTGGGTGGTGTGCAGGTTTCCAAATGTCCTCCAAGGAGGACAAAATTTGAACTGCTGGTAGTCAGGAGGATATTCTGACAATCCTAATCATTCTCACTCTCAAACTGTCACATATGAACATTTGGTCAAGATCCTTTGACATCATTTAACACCCCGAGTACCTCTCTGTTATAATGGATAGTTTCGTCTAGATGAGTATCACTTTCCCAGTTTGGCTCATCATGGCTATAGAAAGTTAGCGTTTAAAAAAAAAGCATTTTAACCACAATCCCACAATGTTCAAAATTAACCCAGTACAGTAGTTGAGTTGAACTCTAGTTTTCTAAATAAAAGTGAACTTGTGCAGAAGTTCAGGTCAGCGTGTCAAAACACAAAATTTAGAGATACAAAGGGCTTTAAATTAAGATGCCATGGGTTACCAACCAAACTACAGTATAGCACAGTATAGTATATACAGCCACTTGAGGAAAAGACAGTCAGATATTGTGATTAAAATGTGACGCCCTAACAAAACGACTCAAAGGTTTAAGTTCAGGTCTTAATGCTCAATATCTATTTTATTTATGTTATCTTATTTTTTGCCATCATACTCCGGTGTGAACAGTCCATGGCCCTGAAACGACCCGCAGGAGTAGAAGACAGCGTGAAATCAGTCACAGCACGCTGTCTCCCAAGGTAAATATGGATGCTTTACGTTCATACCAGTTTTAAAGCTGTGCAATCAAAGATGACTAAAATATTATGGGGCATTTAATTTATCTGTTTAGATTTGGTCCAGCTTTCAGCTTGAATTGCAATTGCTCAAGGATTGTACTGAAAGCAGAAACAAGCTCTAATCGCATCATGATAGTATCGATACGATACAATACCAACCTAGTATCGTAATTCTGCTATGTATTTTCAGTCATTCCAGCTGTGGCAAATCTACAAAGTTAAAAAAAAGAGGTAACCGGACTTTTATTGTGAAGATGAAGACGTGCAGAGCTCCACGTTTTAAACAACGTGATTTTAAACATCAATATTTAGATTGATTCACACACATTTACTTCAGTGCCGTAAGTCAAATTAAATGTGACGTGACTGTTCAGACTGAGGTTGCTTTAAAAATTTCCAATTTGTATCCAATTTAGTGCAACATATGAAAGTGACCTGGCTCAGATTGGAAAGAATTGGATTTGTCTTGTTCAGGCTGCCATAAAAAAAAATCTGTTGGTCACATTTAGGTAAAGAAATGGATTTAGGTCAATTTGCCTGCAGTGTGAATATAGACAAATTTAGTACAAAATGTGGAATTTATTTATACATTTTTTATTTAACCGTCCTGTGTTTATTAAACTATTCAAAAAAACGTTCACAATTTATCGTCAGTCTCATTTAAAATAAATTCAAATTTCAGGGAGACATGTTTGATCTAAATGCAACGTGAGGTCAGAATACTTCTGTGAAGCCTACATAATGACTGTAGTGGTAAAACAAATGTGATATCTGACTTATTAGTGATAAAATCTTAAGTGTATACACAGAATCAAGTATACACTAAGTGTCAGGGACGCATTGGATTCCCATACTTTCTGCTTACGTTTAACGTATTCTTGTCTTAACTCCAGTCTAAATTAAAATGGGTGCATCCCACCACAAGTCTGCTTTAAATATATTAGGTTTTTGCTAACAAATATAAATTTAGCATGAAAATAGCTGTGAAATATGTTTCTATTTTAAGGCGCAGGACCTTATTGTTGCCTGTTTATTTTGGGACACACCAGAAAAGAAATACACCACAGGAGCTTCTATAACTTGAAGACAGGAAGTGGTTGACCTTAGAGGAATTTAAAACTGAATGATCAGTGATAAGAAGTAACTGGTAAAACTGTTTAAATAAATAAATGACAGCCTTAGTTGCACACGTCTTTAAATAGGGCAAAGTTTCTCAATGTCACTCAGTATTGATCTGGTCAACAAGACCAATTTTAACCAGACAGGAAAAGAATCTCTGGGTTTGGTTTTTGCATTACATAGTGGGGCAATACAAATCAAAAGTCCTTAACTTTAGCCTTGGCAGACAGGGCCCACTAAATAATTCACCATCAGCCAGAAGTGTTGTTCGTTTCAAAGAGATCTCTGGTCTGATCTGCCCACTGATTCCACTCACCGAAACATGTAAAGCCTGGGAAACCTCGTCATTTCATGACCTTAGTTTGAAAACTGTTGAGCTCTTTGAGACTGTACCAACAGTTTGAAGCTGCTGAGACAGCTTGCTTAGACTTTCCTCAGGTGTGTAATTCTGATGACTGACGTTATCTTTCCCTCTGAGAGACAAATCATTAGTGTGAGACAGCAGCCATGCAGTGTGAGTGTGAGAGAGATGCAAGGACCTACATTGAGTTCTGCGGGCTTCCAGAAAAGTTGGGCAGCAGCAGCAACAACAACAACAGAGCACATCATATACCAGAGACACAACACTATACCAAATATCTAGCACTCCTGGCTCTATTTAGATTGACAGCAAAGATATGAACATGCTGCAGCAAAACCAAAACCCGAAGGAACTGAAGCAAATGATGGAAAAAGGCAAACCCCCATTCTCCAAATGCATCAAATAATCATTGGGAATGATTATTTTTGATCCAAACTTTTGCCAATGATTTTTGTGACTATAGGATTGGGAAGTAAAATGGTTAAACAATATACCAAGGTATAAAAAATTGTATTGCTTTGAAGATCATCCTTAAAAACTCTATTGTGAACTTAATCTTGGCCATGTCCAAATAAGTTGAAAGTGATGTTACATTAGTGTATGAAAGTGTGGTCTCCAGTAAACTCTTACTTCTGCCATTACTGTTGTGTAGCAGCACTATTTTTTCTGTAGCAACTGTTCAGGCGATGGAGTGCAACAAGAGTAGTGCATATAAATGCATCAACATGAATTAGAATTCTAGACCAAATGACCCTGACTTCTTTTGTTGATGAGAATTGAGGCCAGCATTTTATGGACAAGGGACGTAGGACATTGTGTCCTGCCTATTCCTCCACACACAATCATGAAGTCACACAATGAAATAACTATGAACTATCCATCCATCCATCAGCTTTACCCACTTCTTCCTTTTCAGGTCACATGGGTCACTGGTGTCCATATCCAGCAGTCACTGTGCAAGAAGCGGGGTACACCCTGGACATGTCTCCAGTCCATCACAGGGACACACAGAGACAAACGAGACAAACAACCATTCACTCTCTCACTCTCACCTAGAGACAATTTGGAGTTACCAGTCAGCCCAGTATGCATGTTTTTGGTCTGTGGGAGGAAACCGGAGTATCCATGGAAAACTCACACATGCATGGAGAGAACATGCAATCTCCACCCAGAACGGTCCCCAGGCTGGGATTCGATCTGTCAACTTCCTCTCTGAGAGGCAGCAGCTCTCCCAACTGTTCCACCGTGCCGCCAACTATGAACTACTTGCAGCTAAATGTATCAGAACAATGAATAATTCAACTTACACCATCAAGGTAAAAACTATGAGAACTTGTATTGGGACAATCCTGTAGGAACACTGGTCCCCTTCAGGCGTCAACTTCTAGAATCCCATAATAAGTCCAGTATATTGCATACACAGTGCTGGATGTAAAACAATAACTTGACAAATCAGCTTGCTTGTTCCATATCCAGAATGTGAAATATTAATTTTATAGCCAGATAAACACACTTATAACTGTCTTTAAAGACAGAAATCTACACTACGGTCAGCCACATCTATAAAAATATGTTGGGGATTTTATAAAAACTCACCCCCACTCCAAATGACAGCAAACCAGTGCTGTCACAGGCTAAAGTATAATAACAGAAGAGTGTTGCTGTGCTCATTATTTGTGGTTTTAAATGACCAATTTTGGAGTGTTTATAGTTCAATGGCCCTGTCATGCTACCATTTTAGAGAACTTATGTCGACATGTAAATTGGGTCCAACACACAGGGCATATACTGACAACGGAATAAAAAATGATTCTACTGGAAGCCTCTATTGGACATGTACATACTGTATTGCTAACGAGTTGAACAAATATATAACCCTTGAATAACTTATCCATAACTTGGTCCTAGCTTATACATAACCAACACACGTCTGATGGTATTTTTTAACTTGTGCAGAGCTTATGACCAACGTGAGTGTAACTTATGCCAAACGTATGCAGAGCATGCTGGAACGTATTACGACGAGGCACCTGTCACGATGACATACAGCATCAGCGTATGAAACCTAACGTATGTGTCTTTTTTCCATTCATTGGCTTATGCTGATTCTGTACATCACTGTGTTGGCCTTTACACATCAATAACCGATCAATGCTAACAACAGCATAAAGGTGTACCAAAAAAAAAAACACACTGAGTCGATTTATCACTTAAGAGTGGACACATATGGACACACTCTAGTGTTGCTTGTTGTTTTAACATGATGATTGAGACAGAAAAGAGCAGATGCAGAACTGACTGGATGTGATCCACAGAGATGGGAACAATATAAAACCATGCGTCTTTCTTCACGTGCGCTACAAGTACCTTTGGATTTGATCTGCAGTTCCTGGAAAGAATCTAATAGCAAACATGTTGAGAGGCTGATAAAAACAGTCTTAGATGACATGTTGAGTCCGTAACGTTATTGTAACATTATAAGACTTCATATCAGGCCATTCTTGTTTTTTATTTTTTGTATGTAATCAATTTGTTTCGGCGCATTATTTCAAGTTGCATTTTTAATCTAAATATGGTAAAAATACATACTGAAATACTCAAAATGCCCTAAATCACATGCGAGTGTAAGTCATTCTAGTCTAAAGGCAATCTCATGCAAAGTGAGGCTTAATATGAAAATTAGTAACACTTTACAATAAGGTACACAAAATTTAAATGAATCAGGAGCTAATGGGTAGTTAACCAGTACTTACTGGGGAACACACAGCCAAACCTAATTAGGGGACTACTGGTTTGTTACCACAGGAACAGAGGATAGATTCTCCATTTGGGTTCTGAATGAACCCTGATCACAGCTCGTAATTGTCAAAAACCTGTTTCCTAGTGATTACTGGTTTTAATGGATTTTTCTCTTTTGTAAGTAATTAGCAATTTCATAATCTTGTACTGGTGTCATCTTAACTATGTCTGACTATCACTTACTGAGTACCAAATCATTGCCTGGCTGTTATTGTGTTCACTGATGTAGTGAAGCATCGCACCAAGTACTTACTGAGGAACCAACCATTACTTAACCACTACCTGACCATTACCTACTGGACTGTTCCTGTGGTAACAAACCAGTAGTCCCCTAATAAGGCTTGGCTGTGAGTTCCCTAGTAAGTACTGGTTAATTACCCATTAGCTCCTGATTTGTTCCTGATTCGTTCCTAGTAGTTAATCAAATTTTGTGTAAAGTGTTGCTGAAAATTGGATGCCGCCCAACCCTACACTCTTGGAATAACTTATGTGCTTAAAGTAAAACAGAATCACATTTTATAATTTCATATAGCACATTGTCTGAAATCACAACCAACAATTAAAAGCATTGTCGATGCTTCTATTGCTATTGTTCAGCCATTAACTGCACAATGTCTCACTAAAACATTACACAGAAATGTGTTACATATTTACAAAATAATCTTTAGACTAAATATGAAGCTCTTCGACTCTAAACCCAAGTTTGTGTAAAAACAAGAATGAGTGTTTGCATTTGGATTCTTACATGGTCAGGCAATAAAAGGGGTTTGTTTTAGTCCATCTTTTAAAAGAAAAATCAAACAAGCTGCAGGCAATACTCAATTAGAACATGCAGAAAGCAGAAAATTGGAGTAATTTCAACCTCGGACCAATGATGTGAAATGTTCACTAACTCAACACAAACTTTCATGCAGTTTATTTTCTCCTTCTCAGAGCATTTCAAACCAGTAATTAGACTTTTCAGATGATTGGGCTCCATTTATTTGTGATCCAAAGTTAAAATTTGTGCGTGCACTCACATGCTTGGACAGGTCCGGGCTTTTAGAGTCCACATCGTACCTGAAAGGTAAAAAATACAAGCGAGAAAGTTGTTTTAATTACAACCTTAATGTGGAGGTATTTTACCCTGCTGTCACAAACAACCAAGGAGGGAAAAGATGATGACAGAAACAAGGATATGTGCTGGTTATAATGAAATAAGGCAATAAACCATGTTTTAATGTGCTAGAATAAGAGTTATTCAGAGACCAAGATTCAGATGTTACTGTTTGTAGGGAGAAATAAATAAGGACATTTTCAACCAGACTTTTTTATTTTCCTGTCTCCTGGAAAACATTACATTTCCATGAGGATATATAAAAAAGAAAGCCAAGACAATGGAGCATTATAATAAATGTGATGATTGTAAGTAAAAGTACTTAACTTTCCTTTACTTTTTCTGTCACAACTGATTAACTTTTGGAGTCAGCCAATTCAGGATGAGTGGCTCAGCTAATCAAACTCGGCAAGCACAAAAACTGTTTAAAAAATGTATTTTTAAAGATAATGAGTAAAAATTTAGTGTGGAAGCAGCTGGGTGTTAGTGTGATGCACATATGATAGAGCTAAGACTAAACCCCTCCCAATGCAACGGGGTCCTGGATTTCTTAACAAACAGACCAGTCTGTGAGGATCCACAACTTCTCCTCCTCCACCATAATCATCAGCACTGGCTCCCCTCAGGGCTGTGTGCTGAGCCCTCTCCTGTTCACTTTGCTCATATATGACTATGACTGTGCAGCTACCCATCCAGGCTGTCATATTGTAAAGTTTGCAGAGAATACAGTGGTGGTGGGATGCATCACAAACAATGATGATTCCAGCTACAGGCAGGAGGTGGAACGCCTGGAGGACTGGTGCACAACGCCGCCCCCCCCCCCCCCCCCCCCCCCCCCTGCACATAGGAGGATCTGAAGTGGAAGTGGTCTCTAGTTACAAGCACTTGGGTGTGCACCTGAGCAACAACCTCAGCTGGGGCATCAACACCACCAGCCTGATCAAGAAAGTTCATCAGAGACTCTAGCTGGTCTGGGAAGCTCAGTCCTCACCTCCTTCTACAGGTGTGCAGTGGAGAGCATCCTGTGCTCCAGCATCAACATGTGGCATGGAGGCTGCACAGCTGCAGAAAGAAAAGCTCTGCAGAGAGTGGTGAAGGCTGCACAGAAGATGTTGGAGTCAGCCTCCCCACCATCACAGACATCTACACCTCCAGATGCAGGAAGAGGGCCGCCTGCATCATGAAGGACCTCACTCACCCAGCACACACACTTTTTGCCGCACTCCCCTCAGGCAGAAGGTTAAGCAGCATTAAGTGTAGAACCACTAGACTCAGGAACAGCTTCTACCCTGAGGCTGTTAGACTCATGAATCTCTAACCAGGATAATCACTGTAATTCCACTTTAAATGGGCATGTAACACTTTGTGCTGCTGATTATCCATGCTGATGATTTCTTACCTTAATCTGCTATATTCATACGCATCTGCTCACAACAGACTCATGTTCAGGCTGATGTTCAATACACCTTATTATTGTTTAGTGTATATCTTACCTCTTTGTATACTCTTTGTTTTTTTAATACTTTTTTGTAGTTTATATTATTGCTTTTTTGGGGGTGTAACTGGGACTTTGAGTACACAATTTCATTCCACCTCATGTATCACATGTGATGCCAATGACAGTAAAGTCACCTTGAACCTTGATGCTCCACACGCTAACAGGTTGTTGTTCAAAACGTTGGCATGCAAGGCAGCGGGCAATATGCATTCCTTCTACGAATGCTACTTTCACTTCATCAGGATGGTTTAAGTGTGAAATAAATATTTAATGGAAGAATATTGGAATGTGAATTCAAAAAATTGTCTTCTGTAACATTATGTTATAAATCAGTTCAACTAGAAGGTAACTTCCTTTTTCCGTTTGACAATCATTCGTATTGTGCTATTGTTCTCTTACTCGCTCACACTTGTCTGAAGCAACGCTTCACCTACACAGAGAGATTTTTGTTTTTATCTGTTCAAAGTGAAAATCAGTTGTTTTATGGCACGTTCACAAAATGTAGCGAGACAAAAATCCCAGGTGTTAGTTTTTGCATCCACAAAAACCAAACTTCTCAACAAAACGTAACGGTTTATGAAAGTTTCACAAACTTTTGCGAGACTGTTTCAAAAACGTGATGGGAACGCTGCAGAACTCTCTGCATTTTGTTTAATTAATTTGCCGTTGAAACAGTTTTGTCATGAGGAGACATGACACGCTTTCTGTACTGAGGAGCTGGCGACTCACGTTCGCAAGTGAGAATTAGCAAATAGACAACTTTTATTCTTAACAAGTAAAGTTGGGCCCAGAACAGAGGGAGAGTGACACAGGACAGGAAAAGAAGATGATAATTACTCACAAGTCAAAGCGGAGGTTCTGCTTCTCCTCAAAAAAGTAGTCCAAGATGTACTTTCTAACAAAGTCGGGGTTCAGAGTGTTGTCTATCACCTCCGTTCTGCCAAACTGTAGAGGAAGAAGAGCAGGAGGAGGTCAGGAGAGAAAAATGATGAAAGAAGGGGCAACAAAACAAAACATATAAAGTTGGTGTCTCCTTCCTGCACCTTAACCCCTTTCTCTCTTTTTATCTCGTCCTCAGACTAGTTTCCTGTACATTAATTAGCATCGGCCTGATTAATGGGTGTGCTTTCATACACTGCTGCTGCTCAGAGTAAACCAGCAGTGATTTTCCTGGTTCCTTGATCTTCACCTTTAACTAATTACAAAAGGATATCCCACTCACCCGCCTCACAGCAAGAAAGAGATCGGAGAAGATCATGAAAACGTGTGAGCAGAGAAACAGGAAAACAAGGGAGACTGGGAGTACGGCATACGGTAAGACGTATAGAGAGTAGGCGGAAGAAAAGAGGGCATCCCTAAAGTAGGAGCTTTAGACTAAAAAAAGAAGGTGAGAGAATGGGAATGGGAAAGGAGTTGGCAGAGAAAAGCAGCAATTAAGTCTTCCTAATTAGTTGGATTTTACTCCCAATGTGCCTGTTGCACATAAATATGCCAAAGAACGGCTGAGAAAGACACAAACACCTAAACAGGTTTTGAACACTAAGATGAATAGAAATTCACAAATAAAAAAAAACAAATACAGAGGCATAAACCAATGGATTTTTACCTAATTACCAAACTAAAAACAGAAAAACAGAGGAGTTCATTATTGAAGAAAATATTAGTTTTCAAAATATCAGTACAAATCACACAAAAGACAGTTGTTTCAGTAACATGACATTCAATTTTTACCAAAAATACATTTACTTTGTGAACTGACAAGGTTGCTGAGGTAAGCAATAGGACAATAGTTATATAGCAATACAATCAATATAATTAATTAATATAATTAATAGCAATAGTTTGTTTCTTGTGTAACTGAGTAAAATAAAAACTGATTGTGAATTTTCATCATATTCCTTATTTCTATTTGTGAAAATAACTTTTTAACGTCACTTTGGAGCTAGACCATCAAACAGTTCCAGTTGTTGACGACTTTACACAGATGTTTTCACATTCAAATTTAGACAAACAATTGGGCTTTAATTGAAAAATCAGACCGGCAGTTGTGTTTTCTCTATTTTTAACAGTTTAGTGTAATATGACTAAAAATAAACTGAACGCATTATTGACTAACATGAGCTGACTGTTGTAACAACAACTATAAAAATGCCCCTGAACTATATATATATATATATATTTAAATTGTACAATTTGTTGTTTTTTTAAGGTCATTCTGCAGAAAGACCAAAGAGTAAAACTACATCCTCTAAAAAAGACGCAGATATTGCTGTTAAAAGTTTTGAGAATCTGTTGAATGAACCATTTTTGTTGCATTTAGTTTAATGAGTCAGCAAAAAGAGTCTTATAGCATGATGAAAATATTATTTTGTTTTATAGTAGACGGGTCTTTTTCGCTGAGAAAATTTTTATTGTCTATGAGCAAGCATCAGCATTCCTAAAACTGTTTGGGTTCCCTCTACTGAGACAGAAAAATGTGCCAGAGAGACTTTAGCTTATTAGATTTTAGATTATTGGTCTTGCCATTTTGTGCCCTCTTTTATAATGGTGATGCACCACTCTGCCTTTGTCTGTGGAGTCCTCACTGGTCTGCTGGGAATCGTATGGAAATGAATGAAACAAGCTATGCACTTTCTTCCAGGTCAGCTCGAACCTCTACAGTTGTCTTCTGTTGTGTCGTTCCCCACAGCAATCTACAGACGTCTGCCACTGAGTATTCTGAGCTTAACATCCCTATAATTGTGACATTCCTTCATGCTATGATGAATTGTTTGACAGCTGCCACATATTTGTAGGTATTACAACCTAGAACCAGCCAGCCTCTTTTGAACCCACCAATGCACATAAGATTAATTGTGCAGCTTCTTTTGGGTCAGTTTTGTTCAGGTTTTGCATCACCCGTTTATTTATTTTTTATTATTTTTATCAAACTATCATGAAGGCAAACAATCAGAGGAAACAGGAACCCCTTGACTATATACATGAGTTGATTCATTTTGATATATTTATTTCCTTAATTTTGTCATTAGTAAAAATAAATGTTAATCAAATTATTATCAAGTTTCATGATGTAAAACAGATGATGTACATGTTTTATCAGGAAACTGCCGACTGTGCTCAAGCCATTTGCAATCAACAGTCTGTTTAGTTTTAATTGTTGATGATGCCAACTTTCACTTCAAATTACTGACCAGCTCTTTCCTTCTGTAGGTATATTCCAAGAAGAAAAACAACTGAAAGTTTTTATTCTACGTAAGCATGGAAGAAAAGTAGAAAGATCCTAAAATTGAATTTGTTTCACCCAGAATGTCCAGGAGAGCTGGAGGTGTTGATGAAGCTGTGAGCACATGTTGGTAAAGAAGCGGGAGATGGTTGGAGATGAGCTCTGTAATGTGATTTCCCTGCTGACTGGAGGAGACAATACTGCTCAGCAGAGTTCATTAGATGCTGTTAGGCTGCTGGAACTGGCTAATGAGAATCTGGCATGAAGTCCCAGACTTACACCATCAACATCACACACACATAGCAGCTCCCACACATTATTGTACCCACAGAAAGCTGAACACTTCAGGCTAGATCCTCAATGTTTGATACTGAAATATGAAATTGTTTTTAAAAATACAGTTACACTGTGGGTGTGAGTTAGCTTTTATGAAGGTCCAGTGAAGGAGAGCAGTACCGAGATGTAAGGAGAATCCTCCACTGGTCTTCTGTCCTAAACCTGACTGTTGTGATGGTTGTAATGAAACAGGAGTCAATGGTTAAACTCACAAACTGTATTACAGTAAATGTGAAGATGCCATTACAGAACTCTGGTCGGTCTCATTCTTCTTCTGCATTTCTATTCAACACAGTCTCCTCGGCCCTGTACTGTGCCAGCTGGTGACGAGTAGTAATACCAGCATCAGAATAAAACATGAAGCATTCACTAAGTAGACTCCACATTGAACAAAAAAATAAACGCTACACTTTTTTGGTTTTTGCTCCCATTTTTCATGATCTGAACTCAAAAATCTAAGACTTTCTATGTCTACAATGAGCCTTTTTCTCTCAAATATTGTTCATAAATTTGTGTAAATCTGTGTTAGTGAGAACTTCTCCTTTGCCGAGATAATCCATCCAACTCACAGGTGTGGCACAGTACGCTGATTAGACAGCACAATAACTACACATGTGCTTTAGGCTGACCACAATAAAAGGCCACTCTAAAAATGTGCAGATTTATCACACTGCACCATGCCACAGATGTTGCACATTTTGAAGAAGCGTACAATTAGCATGCTGACTGCAGGAATGTCCATGTTCAGAGAATTTGGCAGTACATCCAACCAGCCTCACAACAACAGACCAAGTGTAACCACACCAGCCCATGCATAACATACACCTGTCCATGCATAACATACACCTGTCCATGCATAACATACTCCTGTCCATGCATAACATACACCTGTCCATGCATAACATACTCCTGT